ATTCTCTAAAGGTCCAAAGGCGATTTTGGAGAACTTGGGGCAATTTTGGAACTTGGGAGCAAGATAACTTATCACCATTCACGATTCTATTGAGTTTTTCTTCACTTTTCTCCTTCTTTCTCCTATGTATCTGATTTGGTCCCATTATTCTACCATTTTGAGATTGTATTTAGCTATATGTGGCTGAATCTTGATGCTCTAGAGTCCTATGAACTCATTTGCTCTGATTGTATCTTGATTTACCGATTACTTTGTGATTAATGGACGTTTTATGTTTTAATTCCAATTTTTATTTGTGTTGCTTGATGATTGGCCACCATTAAGTGATAATTTGGAGGAATAGAATGAACATGGGAAAGAAATTTCTGTTTGGACTATTGGAATTGAATGCTTATGATTAACTATAGTTAATTTGTCTCTAGGAGAAAAATGTACTTAAAGGACCTAAGTAGTTAGAAGGGATTTAAACTTAATGCTCTTACTCTAATTTTGGTAAGAAATTGTTGGATTAGAATTAAGTAGAATTTTGGGTAATTGAAAGATATTCAAGATTAATTATAGTGTCCCAACCCTTAAAACTAAAATTAAAATCAATTTAATTAATAAGTTAAGTGCAATGGAGCAAATGAGGAGTTAGAACTCTAGGGTGCTTTCCTAATCGTTTCTTGATAGAGTGCTTTAAAATCTTAGTTTCTTACTTTACTTGTTATTTTATTTTTTCAAGTTGAATCATTCATCACTTTAATTTGCTTGGTTTACATGAATGAAATTGGGATTTAATGCCTATTTGCCAATTTAATTAATTCTCTATGGAATCGACCTTGATGCATTACTATATTGCATATTGACCCTGTACACTTGCGGTGTTCATTTAGTTTCTGTGTGCATCAACATTGTAGGAATATAATTAATTTACATTCTAGAGTACATAAATACTACCAACTAAGGAATAAAATCAGTGTTTTCCTTATCTCTCTCTTTTCAATTCTCTCTTCTCTCTTGAAACATTGACAAGATAATATCTTTTTTATATCATATAAAGATTCAAGTATACTCTATCTCTATAAGGAACCTGTGCATCTGAAAGAATCTGATCACAATCTATAAGTGTGAACCATATTCATATGCTTAAAGATCTATGTTTTTTGTATCAAGGAATTGAGGATTCCCGTGGAAGGCCTTAACCTAGATCAAGGTATAGAGACCCAAGATCTCTAGGTCTATAGGGCAGTTTTGATATTTTTCTTTAAAATATTTTTTAAAAAATGCTAAATTTTATTATTTCAAAATTTTAAGATGTCAAAATGTTTTTTATTTTATGTAGAAGTCAAAAATCTAAAAACAAAATAAAATAAAATTGGGAAGAAAAGGCATTACATAAAGCATTAGAGAAAAACACGACCAAGTGGAAATTCAAACTTTTGCTTTATCATGTTATTAGGACTAACTCAAACCTAACCACAAACCCCCATTTTTATGTATTTAAATGTGAAAAATGACCTAGTCTATATGAGCCGGCCTGCTCACTTCTCTTGGTCATTTGCCACTTCACTTCTCTTCCCTTAGTGGCTGTATCATGTGTTGCTGTGTACTCCAAAACGAGTTTAGGCTTTTGGAGGGGTCGCTACAGGGCCCGAGAGAAGATAATGTTAGAGAATCACAGCATAAGCAAGGAATCTCATCATGGCAGGGAACTGGATTTCAAAGCAGCTGCCCTGAAGCATAGGGCACTCGTTCTTGTCAATGAAGTCGTGCTGCAAAATGCCTGGTTGATTTGTCACTCGTTAAATCATTTGAAGTGCAGGAGATTTTGAAGTCTCAACACTTCAGATGTATCTAAAAAGCGAGCTAGTTTGGGCTTAGATGGACCTATGTTGTTGTGCAATCGATATTAAAGGCTCTATAGTTCAGAGAATTTTAGTAGCCTTGAAGTGAAATAAATAACACTTGAAAAAAAGAAACGGTGGTCGGGACTGAGAGTAATAAACATATATGCACCTTTCAGGCGTAGAGAAGTTAAGAATTCCTGGAGCTTCAGATTAACTACATGAAAAGGTTTGGCTTCTATCTTCAATAATGATCTGTTATCTCATGTTTCTTTCTTCTCCCAGGTTGTTACCTATGAAGAAGTTCACAGGGACCAATGCAGATAGAAATGGCTAAAATGGGAACTTGTGGTGAGTTGTTACTGCTATGAATAACATTTTTCACAGGTTGCAATTCTCCCCCAAAAAGAAAAGTGGTCAATTTGACGAGAGTAGGAGAGAACGTAGCCTTTCAATAACTATTTGTTTACTTTCCTTGTGCATACACACACACACTCACGCTTGCACTAAATGTAGGAGCAAATTAACTAATTCGTCAAATAAATTAAGGAGATTAGGTAAATTAGATATTTGTAAAAATTTGTTTCGTTTTTCTGAAGTAAAAATTAAGGAGATATATCCTTTTAATTATAAATAACGATCTTACAAAATAGAGAAAACAAATTCATTCCTCGAGTAACAAATATTTAACACGATAATAACTAAATAAAATCAAATTTTAAGCAGAACCAAATGGAAGCTACCGATCTACTCTCAAATAAAAGCCATAACATCATTTCATTGAACAAGAAAAATGACAAAAATTGATCAAATCTTAAAAGAAATTAAACCCTAAAAACAATAATCACAGCCTCCAACAATAATAAGAGCCTTCCTTCGTCTTCCTTAAATCTCTACTTGCGCAAGCCACGAAAGTAACCTGAGGGATCACCTTCCAAGTCATCTCTGAATATACGATAGTCCCTTCCTGGAGCTTTGATCGTTTTTCTGCTCTTCGAACCAGAACCACAAATACCTAACACACTTCCAATGATTCCAACAACAAGAACAGCGACACCTACAACAACAATGTCACTAACCTTAACCTCCTCTTTCACTTCACTGCTCTTCGACTTATCTATTCTTCTACTTCGTCTTAAGAAGAGGGTCGCTGAAATGTCTGGGAAGATGTATAGAGGCGTGCAATAACTTAACATCAGTTTAAATTAATTAATTTTCTCAGTTATTTGTGGATAATGGAGACTCTGTTACAAATAATATTCCATTCCAATTTTTCATAAGTCGAATAGATGCCTGCAAGCTTTAAAGGAGATCACGAATTACGAATAGGGTCGTGTTGTACGAGAGTGACATATACTACTTGATTGATATGCAGTGGGATTGAGAGAGAACTTTTGGATTGTTGGAGTGAAGAATTTAAATTTAGATTATATGCTTCTTCTTCTTCTTTTTTTGGGTTTTGAAGAGAATGAAAACAACGGAAAAAAAAAATGATGATAAAGTCAAATTATAAAAGTCAAAAGATGGTCTTTAAATTTAGTTAATATCACATATATTGATTAATAATTTTAATCTTGTATAATTTGACTAATTAACTAATGCATATTTATTGCATTATCTTGTTATCCCAATATAGGAAAAAGTCAAATAACTTATCGATTTTTGAACAATGTTATTGTTAATTATAATCACTGATAATTATAATTAACCCACAAGAACAAAAAATGTTATATAATTGAATTTTTTTAAAGATTGCTTTGATTCCCATTTTTACTTCTAATTCTAATAAACATCCTAAATTTTACACGCAAACTCTTGTAACACCACAACTTTTTGCTAGAACTACCATGCGACTATATATATAGGACTCAAGAGTAGTTGATATGCTTAAATTAAAAAGAGAATTATATTTAGGTCACATAAAAAAAATTAATTACTATAAAGTCCAGTGATAACTGAATTAAGAAAAATGATTGTATTATCAATCCTTTAGTTTAATTGTCACTGGACCTTCTATTAATTAATTTTTTATGTGAAACTTTAATATAATTCTTCCTAAATTAAACTTGTAGAAAATGTTTTGCTTTCTAATTTTATTTTACTTTTCACTGAAATTATTTATCACAATAAAGTGCTGTCCATAAAAGTTAAAAGCATGCCAGCTTGTTAAAATTAATGAGAGATTTCATCCCAAAAAAAAAAAAATGATGAGAGATAATATTAAAAAATTGCAAGTTTTCTTTGTATTAAGATAAGATGAAGATTAGATAAGATAATATTAAATAGAGTTTTAAAACTTTTTCTTCTATTAATTGATAATTAATAATTGAGTCCGAAATGAGCAATAACATTTACCCATCAAATGATATGGGGTTGTTGGGCCCAACAATATCACAACACAACAATATCACTCTCGTCAATTCTACCAAAATAAAAATCAAGTGTTTTGGAGTTGTTGGGCCCCCAAATACACAGGGATCAATGTCATTTGGGGTGCCACTGCTAATGCCCATGAAATTAAAAATTAGGGACGACATATTTCTTTATCCTCATAATTTTAACATGTCTTGTATAAATTCCTATAATTGTGTTCACTTTTCATTATTCTAGGTGCCTCTAATTTATCTTGCATTCAACATTTTTCATTTGTTTTTTAATATGACTAAAAGGATGATGAGGTAGCACTGACATCATTAATATGTACTAAATGGAATTATGATTCAACATATTAAGAGCATTGTCCACCCAATTCTTTTTCAGGTTTCAGGTTTTAATCTGTTGAAGTATAATCCCACTTCAGTAAAAAGATTAAGAATGAAAGGATATAATTCTCTGTGTTTTATAATTTGATTTTGTACTCAAGCTATGCTTGCCCACTTTAATTTTTTTTTTAAAGGCTTTTGACTTCCGAATTATTGAATCCGTTTGAAAATGAACTATCCAATGGTATTTTAATTAGGTTTTGGATATGGTACCCATAATTAGGTTTTTAAATTACATATTTTACCTCACCTAAATTAGATTAATTAATTATAAGCTTTTCATTTCCGGATTTATTTAATCCATTCGAAAATGAACCATCCAACCATATTTTATTTGGGTTTTGGATATGGGGCCCATAATTAGCTTCCTGAATTAGATTCATTATACGCTTTTAATTTCGGGATATATTAATACATTTGAAAATAACCATCCAACGGTCACAAAACCACTAGCCGTTGAGTTTTTTTAAAACTATAAAACATGACGCTCCTGGTCTCCACGGACAAATAGCCACAGTCCTCATAGTCTCAGTAGTATTACAATCTCTCAATCCCCAGAGTGGCTACAGTCTTCTGGGTTTATCAACAAAAATTGGTGATTCCTCTCATGAGAACAACCCGATCTCCGTCAAGCCCACAAGCTTGGAAGGTAAAATATTCTTATGTTTGAATCAATTTATGTAATTGGAAATTAAAGTTTGAAGGTTTACGTTTTTCTTCCTTCTGTTTCGGATTAAATATTAGGAGAGCCATAGAAACTCAGGGTATCTCCTGAATCTTTACCCCATGTGTTAGAGTCAAATCTCTCCGACCGTGATCACCGAAGGCGGTTGAAGTGTCATCGGCGGCTACTGGTTTTGTTTTTGGTAAAGCGCGACATCTGGATTTACTGCAGAAAGTTTGGGGATCAGAGAACTGGATCGAATCGTGGTAGAAATTTGTGGTGTCTACGTACTATTCAGAACTGGATCTTTGCCTTCTTTCACCAAGATAATTAGATCATCTTGCTAGAGGCCATGAGTGACCAGCCATACTACAATCGACAGCTTCTGAAGAATGTCTCCGGATAATTGGATCGTGATGGAATAATTTACAATCTAGAGGCTATGGGTGGACAGGATCAGCCTATAAATACTGCAATTGAGGTAAGTTATTTCAAACCCTTCCTCATGGAAATAACTCAGATATGGGTCTATCTTTGATGTTTTTAGATTTTTGATTCATGGATTTCTGCGTTGGGTGATTATAAGATGTTTTGGAATTCTAAGTTGGATGCTGTTAAAAATTTTAATATTGATGTGAAAGAAGATTTTTATATTTTGGTGTGTCCTGATTTGGCTGATCCGTTGAGAAGACCTGATGGTTAGAATCAAGGGTTATTTTTATGAGAGTGTTTGAGTTTTAGATAAGGGCCGAGCCCGCCCGTTCTGAGTCAGAAGGTACCATATTTCTACTTCAGACTATCTGCTGAATTTGGTATGCTAGTGCTTTGTTTTTGATATTTTACTGTCATAAGATTTTTTTTTTTTATCATAAAACATGTATGTTTGGCTGCGGTTTTGGCCTAGAAGAGAAATAAGGTATAGCCGAATGCATTGGCTTCTTAATCTTAGCAGAAGTGATTCTTGAAGGCATGAATCACTAGGCGAAAGGAAAACTCGAGAGTGAAAAAGCAAGGCATGGCTAGAACAGACTAGCTTCTCTTAATCCTCGACAAACTCGAGAGTGATTCTCAGAGGCATGAATCACTAGGTGGCAAACTTTAAAGTGATTCTTGAAGGAATGAATGATTAAGCCAAAACTTTCAAAGTAAGGTATTGAAAATCAGATTGGTTATTGAACTAGTCAAAACATTGGGACAAGGGTCAATGGTTCAACCGGGGGTCAAATTGAAATCAGAATAATCATAATAAAATAATATAATTCAAATAACAATGCATTAATCCTTAATACATTTATCAATATTCAAGACTTAATATCTTATACAACATAAAATAATAATTCAAGTGATAATAATATTAGGTAGAAAATATAGTAGTAAAACTTTTTCTTAAAAATAATAGGAATAAAATTTTAAAAGTTAAAATATAAAATATAAAAAATAATTAAAAAAGAGATATAAAAAACCATCTAGAGTTAAAAAAATAAATATATATTATAAAATGATACACTACGTAAACATATACTCCTTCATTCAAAAATATAAAGTATTTTTAACTGAATCTCACTCCCTATTAAACACCCTATAATAAATATAAAGTCATTATTAATATGAGTACTTTTGAAAAAAAAGATAATGATTACACCTTAAAAAAATTAAAAATGTCTTACATTATTAAACTTTCAACTCCTCATAAAATGCTTTATATTTTTGAACGGAGGGAGTATATAATTTTAGATTATAAAAATAAAATAAAATATAATTTCAAAATAAAATACTTATAAGGATGCCAAGTGGATTTCAAAATTGTTTAAATATGTAAAGCAGACGTGTAGTAGTAAAAATGTCAATTGAGAAATGACATTGCACCTGCTACTATTCCTTTATATTTGTTCCATATCTGCTCAGTCTCTCTCGTGTTTTGCTCCTCAGGTTTAGGGGTGCACATGGGCAGGGCTAGGCAAGACCCTGCCCGATGCCTAGCTCGAAAAATGAATGGGCTACAAAATGTAGCCTGATGCCCAACCTTGCTTGCAAAATGCTCTATTAGTTTAGGCTGGGCAGGGCTGGTTGGGCAACTTTGGGCTGCCCAGCCCATCAAATAATTTCCTTGCCCATAAAATCACAACCCTCCTCATCATTTCAAAATAAAACTATCACAAATCAACAATAATAACGCCATACATCAACTCAAAATAGCATCCATAAAGCCATGAACTATAAATCCACAATAACAGCCACAATATCCAATTATCCATAATTCAATATTTAACTTGAAATTTAAAACTATCACAAGTCTTGGCACAATATCAAAAATAGCTATCATTCAAAATAACAAAAGCTTGGAGCATCATATGAGAAACAACAATGTCAAAGAGTAGGCTCCAATTCACAAAAAGCTTCTTCCCAATTCCCAACCTGTATGAATAGAAGAGGAAAAATATGTCATAACTAGACAAAAAAATTGCAAGAACATACATGAAAATTTAAAGAAAAATGGGAACCAAAATATGAGAGAATTAACAACAATAATATATAAGTTTGCCAAAAAATTAGCAAGAATCATAGAAATGTTAACAAGAAACTAACAGAAAAATTAGCAAAAAAAACTACTTCTAAAGAACCACTTTAATCAGCACTAGCTGCTGCATTCTCCCCTCCAAGTGTTGCATCTGAAGACAAAAAAAAAAACAATTACATTAATAAAAAAACTAAAGTAAGGGGTGTGCATGTGTATGTGGCAATTATTAAACTTTAGAAAAAAAATATTACTTGTAAGCTGAATGATATTTTCTGTCTCATTAAAGTTATCAAACTCTTGAAGCTTATCAAGTAACTCAAAGAGAGATTGCCCACTATGCAGCCAATTTTGCCCACAAATCAGTGCTTCCGTCATTTTAGGAGATAGAGCGCTCCTATATTGATCAACTACATGTCCACCAGTACTAAATGTAGACTCAGAAGCTACTGTAGAAACTGGCATAGCTAATACATCTCATGCCATGTGGGAGAGAATTTTATATTTTTCAGAGTTTGCTTTCTACCATGATAGTATATCAAACTCAGAATCAGATGATAAGATTTCAGCTCTAAAGTCAGTTGCAAGATATCTATCTAACTGGCATAGCTAATACATCTCATGCCATGTGGGAGAGAATTTTATATTTTTCAGAGTTTGCTTTCTACCATGATAGTATATCAAACTCAGAATCAGATGATAAGATTTCAGCTCTAAAGTCAGTTGCAAGATATCTATCTAACTCACTTTGTGGATCCATTGAAGTTCTTTGTTTCAAAGACTCTAACCATATTGCACCTAGATCCTCAATGTCGTCGTCATCATCATCATTAAGAGAGGGCAATAAGCTTGTAGATGCATTACTAGTATAGGTAGGCCCTGATTCAGTAGAAACCCCCACAGAATACTCATCGAATAATCGATACAAATAAGTTTTGACCTTATCCATCATCAATGCATATTCTTCAAGGTTATTGAAAAGGAGTTCAAACATGTGATTTACATAAACTAATTTGTACCGAGGATCCAAAATCATAGCCATAATCAATAATGGATTCATATTATCTACCTGACCCTAATACTTATCAAACTTCATATACATCTTAAAGCTCATATCTACCAAAAAGTATTACCATTGTTTCCAATATGCTTTTGCAACATCTGCTAAACACGAGTAATTTGATGGAAACAATCATTTGATGTTACCGTAAGGGAGCTTGAAAATTTCAAAGTTATGTCATAAAAGACCTTTAAGAATTTGATGAAGACTTTAGCATTTTTTCAATCATCAAGAATAGGGCCAGAAAAAACACCTCCCTCTTGCTTAGAGTTAAAGAATGCAATATAGTCATCATCTTCATCACGCATCCGCTCAAACACCTTTTGAAACTTCATTACAACTTCTAACATCAAATATGTTGAATTCTATCAAGTGCTAACATCAAGGCAGACAAGGCTCTTGGTTTTTATTTTTTCAAATTCAACCCAATTTTTAAACTTTAGAAACTATGAAGGAGAAGATCGAACATATCTATCTCACAGCACTTCAAATGGCTTCAAAACTATCTTTCAATGCCTTCATTGACCACCAAATTAAAAACATGTGCATAGCATCTTAATTGTAGATAATCTCCTCCATAAATTAAGCCCTTCCAACTTCTCAACCTCCTTTTAAGATATCCCAAAGCCATATCATTAGATGAAGCATTATCCATAGTTTTGATAAACACCTTATCAATACCCCAATCCAACAAGCATTGCTCAATGGTCTTCCCTATAGTCTCACCTTTATGATTTTCAATCATAACAAAACTTAGGATCCTTTTGTGAAGCTTCCATTCCGTCAAACATAAGTAATTAAAATTTTGGTTTGACGTCCAGCAATCTGTCATGAGACAAACACACTTAGAATATTGCTTAAAGATCTTCTTTAGCACTTTTACTTCACCAAGATATAGCTGCCACACATCCCTCACAATTGTTGTTCTTGAATGGATTGGAAAGCGAGGTTCAAACTCATTCAACAATTTCTTAAATGTAGGCTTCTCAATAATTCTAAATGACTACTCATCATAAATAATAAATTCAGCAAGAGCTCTTCTACACCTCTTCTCATCATATAAGTGAGTGACTACAGATTTTTCTTGCCCACTTGTCCCACCAGATAACAAATTTATGATTGCTTTTTTCTTATCTTTGGTGGCCTTATGAGGGTTCTTTGGACACTTTGGGATGTGCCTCAACAAAGAATGTGTCTCATGGCGTGATGGATCAGAAGCATAAGTCGTGTGGCAATACTTGCATGCTGCTCTATGCTTTCCCTATTAGTTTCTCCTATAGGCAACCTAATAAAGTAATCCCACACCTCTTATGTATGTTTGGGTTCCTTTTCTTTCCTTTTTCTACCCCTTCTCTCAGCATCTATCACTTGTGTGACATGTTCTGTAGGTGTTTGGGTGGGAAGAGCACAGGGGGAAGAGAAGGAGGTGCAGTAGGAGGGATAGATTGAGGGGGATAAGGAGGGCAGGGGTTGCTGTTTGTGTAGGGGGAGTATGGGTTGGGGTTTGTGTAGGTCCAGTAGAGGTTGAAGGTCCAGTAGGGGTTGATGTTTGAGATGTTTCAAAAGGTGATGCAACGAAGCTTGATCCTCCATACTAGTATAAATAAATACAGAACCATAAATTATTAGTTAAGAAGAATTTAATCTAAGTCCAACAATAATTCACACACATATAAATCCATTTAAAAGTACAAATCCAAGTCAACCCAAGTTCAAAATGTAATCCAATTCCATTAATTCAATTCTTTCTCTTGACTTCCTGGGCAAAATTTGGCATAAGAATAATTAAGAGAAAATTTAACTCTAGGCAAATGAGACCTTCAAAATACATGTAGCATGGGACAATATGCACTAATGCAACCAAAAATAGAGGAAATTGAGAATAACACTTTACAAAATGTGATAT